TGACTTCGCCGCAGAAGCTCACGCTCGTTCACACCGCCGGGTCGTCAGTAGCCACCTAGTGGCGTCATTGTGCGGCCTAGGTGCCAGGATAGGTGCACCGGGGCACCGCGACAAGAGTAAGGAAGGCAAGGCTTCAAACGGACATAACGCAGACCTGACGGAAAGGAATCTCTTTGCAAATAAATGGCAGCGGGAACAAATTGGAAAAAATGTTACTGGAAAGGCAAACGAAACCTTACTCTCGGCGTGCGCTCCAAACGCAAGACTAAATTAAGCAGAGGGAGCCCAGCGGAGCGTTAAGGAACGCCACGAAGACGGAGTCGTTACGCACGGCGCGTGCCTCCACTTCAGTCGGCTCCGATCTCCGGTCGTCGATGTTTTTCGTCCGTTTTAATCGAAACTGAGACGCACGTGGGGGCCTGGCAGGAGGCTGGCATCTGGCCTGGGTTAGTAGCTGGCTGGTAAGATGGCTCTCATTGCCACAAAAAACAACAAAAAAACAACAAAAAGTACATTTAAAAAAATAATTCAGTTGATTTTTAAACTGTGGAAAAAAATGTAAAACCAGTAGCTCGACTTCTTGAGCGCGACGCATACAGACACGTTAAACGGTTTTGCTATCGTACGTATGCACCCGATTAATAAAAATAATAATAATGCCCGTCAAAATAAAAAGACCACAAATTGTTGTCGGATTATGGGCAAGGCCAATGTTTTTTTTTCTTCTACTACCGTCTCATAAAAGAGACATTTAAAAATGTATATCCGTACACGAAAGATGGCTTTGTGCAATGGAGTCGTGATTGAACTACGCAACTGCTGTCACTCAAACAGATGAGGTTTTCAGCGAATTTCGTGACACGTGGATCATCTCCGCCGCAGAGGACGCCAATTTTTTCCCCTCCGTCAACCGTCTTTACCCTATCTGTCGACAACTTCTCTCCAACACGGAGGGGGGGGGGGGGTGCACTGCCAAAATCAACAGCCCCAAAAGGAACATAAACATTTTTTGGGTTGTGCGGTGGTTATTTACCGTATATCGCTAAGGTAAAGCAGGGCAGGAAGGGCTGTCAAGAGACTGGGCGTAGGGCACGCGCTCGCTCTCGTGTGCTGACGGTGCGAGTGGCCGGGCTCGTGGAGCGAGGACAAATTAAACGATGAAAAATTGCAGGAAGTTTCTGCTTCAAGTTTTTGTTTGTTAAATGATTTTTTCCCCCTCACCTCCGCCCCCCCACTCCACACCGATCCCCACACAGACCCCCCTCTCACCCCCCCACCCCCGCCGCAAAACTCAACCATCGTTCATCCTTGCGCAGAAAAAATGCACAAACCTCTCTGCGCGAGAATAATTTATATATTTTCTCCCATAAAAAAATATATGCATACGATATGCGAAAAATGCACACTCCTTACCGCCATCCCGCATACTCTGACAATAAACACCGTCGGTTTAATAAACGAGGATCTGTCGCGTCTGACGGAATTTTTTTCGCTTTATGTTTAAACTAAATTAAACGACGAAATGCCAGTCTAGTTTGTAAACATATGGAAGCCGATATTCGCATAATTCGACATCGCTCGGTTTGTGTCGAAATTGCATGGCGGTTGTGCCCACCAAGCCCCACCGGTCAGACATACATTGGCACGCCCCGTAGGCCGCAGGAAAGAACCGCAGCCGAGGCGATTCCATTATTCACGCGGATTGCACAACCGTAGCAGACGGTTCCGTTCAATCGCCCACGCACACAACTGTCGGGCGCTCTTGCGAACGGCGGGGAAGATATGAGGGTAACTACTCTGTGTAAATAGGTGCAAGTCGAGGACAAGACGGGAAAAAAAGCACGAAAAAATTTGGTATATTTAAATAAGCACAGAATTTGTCACGATGATGGTTTGGGTTAAGTTGGCAGTCCAAACACGGCGAAGCAGCGTGGCTGTAAGCGAAGCTGACAACGTGTGTATATCCTTAACATAAGCAACGATGTATCACCAAGACAAAGGGCCTTTGCGCGAATCCGTGCCCAGTATCTGTCTCCCGGCCTCATCGGCAGCGCTAACGAACCAAGCGCAACGCTCTTTCTGTGCCAAACTGTGCGTGCGGCCCTTCTAAGGACATGGCGAGGTGTACAGTGTCATCATCATCACTCACAAGGCAATGTGTATCGCCTTGCGTAGATCTTTACGGGACGCGAGCCCAAACATCAGCTCTCGCATGTCACTCAAACATGACGGGCATACGATGAGGCCATCATCGTTCAAGAACAGACAATCCAGCTCTGTTAGCGATAGTTAAGCAATTCGCAGCCCAGGCCAACTTACGTTTCTTAGCGGTCAAAAACTATGCCTCTCACTTGCGTTAGATCTATATAATCTGTTCGGTAGGAACTGTGATTGGAGTGGTTGACTCACAAACACAAAGGTTGTCAGTTGAAATCCTGGTTGTGTGTTGAATTAAGCAGGCTTTCCTCCAATGTCGTTAAAACGAGGAAGTCAAAAGCTGGTTGTCTTCTGGATCGACTTGGCCTTTGTCATGGGAATGTGGAGTAGCCACCACTGGTTCAGGGCTACCACTGGAGCTGAGCGCTGGCTCACTGCTTGTTTGAACAGGGAGACTCTTGTAATCACTTTTTGTTTCTCTCCCCGTCTCGTCTGCTTGTCCGTTACAAACCCTCATATGTAACGTGAGCGAATGATTTAAAGGCATCGCGTTGCGCAACTGGTTATTCTCCGCGTCTTCGTCCGTGACCTACACTCCACTCCTGCTACTCCTCGTGTCTCGCCAGTCATTGTTGTAGTCGCTTGTGGATTTTCGAAAATTTATTTGGAATTTTAAAAGACAAATTTCACTTGTGTAGATCATGACTTGCAGTTAAGAGAATCCAAGGTTTGTAAACTCTGAAATACCTTCGGATGCTATTTGAGGAGTAATTTTATTGTTAATATTACTAAAATAATAACGAACATTTTCAATCCACTTCTGAATGAAGACCTTCCCATGCCGTGACGGCCATTGAAGCTGTTTGACCATACTTCACCATGCTGGTCGGTACGGGTTGAAGTAGTATTATTATCATCATCATGACCTCTCCCTATCCTTGCCACTTATCTCTCTACCCACACTTTAATTCATCCTTTCTGCAACTCGTGCATCCCACTCCTGCGGAGTATTGTGCTATTGCTGCCGCAAATAAATAAAAAATCGAAGGAAGCCGTTCATCAACAGACGATGAATCGCTCGCGGAGAAAATGCTTGAGCGCCGATTTGCAACGGCGCGTGAGTCTTAAATGCAAGCGGCGCCTTGAGTTCAAGCTGTGTTTCAATTCAAGCCGATAGAACAGATCAGAGGGGGCTAGGCCCTGGTCAGCCAATAGCCACCCGCTACCCTAACAATGGGGAGAAAGTAAAACTGAGGAATGACGGCATAAAAAAGAATAACAAAGTTCCAAGAAAAAAACAAGGTGTGTCAATAAATACCCCATTCCCTGATCCCTCTGCCTACGACCGACCGCCCCCAAATCTACGTGCAGGTGTTCTGCACAGCGTCACGTGATTCGACTGTTTTCAGACGCCCTATAAAACCACGTTGTACAGGGTGATCCAGATGTATTGACCTCCTAACCTTTTTTTATCTGCACATTCATTAGTTTTAAAATAAACCTCAATAAAAAACACGATGTAGAGATTTAAATGGGGGTCACAAGACTTCTAGCTGTCGCCTGATGAAGCTGGTTGTAATTACTGGCGAAACGTCGTACTCAAGATTGTAAATGTTGTGGCTTGGCTCTCCAACACACCGGTTAGTGCTGTACTAGTACACTACACTATACACTACACAACACACTACTAGACTATACACTACACTACTACACTATACACTACACTACTACACTATACACTACTATACACTACACTATACACTACTATACACTACACTATACACTACACTATACACTACACTATACATTACACAATACACTACACTATATACTACACTATACACTACACTATACACTACACTACACTACTACACTATACACTACACTATACACTACTATACACTACACTATACACTACACTATACATTACACAATACACTACACTATACACTACACTATACACTACACTATACAATACACTACTACACTATACACTACTATACACTACACTATACACTACTATACACTACAATACACTACACTATATACTACTATACACTACACTATACACTACACTACTATACACTATACTACTACACTATACACTACACTATACAATACACTACTACACTATACACTACTATACACTACACTATACACTACTATACACTACAATACACTACACTATATACTACTATACACTACACTATACACTACACTACTATACACTATACTACTACACTATACACTACTATACACTACACTATACACTACTATACACTATTATACACTACACTATTATACACTACACTATACACTACACTACTATACACTACACTATACACTACTATACACTACACTATACACTACACTATACACTACACTATACACTACTACAGTATACACTAGTGCTGTACTCGTGACGAATTGGCCACGTTCTGTTTACAACCCTTACTAGTTGGCTGTATCGGGTGGCGGCGGGTTTAACGACACATTGATATATTTACGCGATCTAACCCCAAAAAACCTCTATTATGGATGATATTGGTCGCGAAAGCCTCCTGCGTGTTATCCTGACATCTGGACCTCCCTAAACTATTGCAGGCACTCCGCCACGGCGCTGTCCAGTAATGAACACACAGCGGGAGGCATTAACAACAAACAACAACAAAGGCAACAGCCACCAATCCCACCAAGGCGCTGCAGTTCAAGTCAACAATCGGCCTGATTGTTAATCCCGCACACAGGTGGACGGTCCGGGGGGGGGCGGGGGGGGGGGGGTGGGGCATCCGTGCGTGCGTCCGTGCGTGCGCTCGCATGTGTTTCACCCCCCCGCTCCTCACCTGAGCGATGTTTTTATTCAGCAGGTAGACCCCGTAGTCGAAATGGAAGCGCTCGTTTCCTTTGGCATACAAAGGAAACCTGCATCGGACGGGAGGGGGGGGAGGGAAACAAACAAAGTTTGACGCTTTATCACATGGCGCTCATGCCCTGGGTGATTAATGGCAGGATAAGTGGCTCAAAAAGGAGTAATCAGCGATAGGCTTGAGCCGTGGACTTGAAGTGCTTTTCGCTGATAATAATTAGACCCGGCAAAAGTGGGGAGAAAAATATATATTACTGAAAAGCTTGCATTAAACACGTGGACATTCAAGACATTGGTGTTTCAAAAGAATAACACACGCAGGGGTCTCATTGTGGAGAAACTTGAGCAGAAAGTATATTTTGCCCGCTGATAGTTTTACATTGCGCAGCACTTGCGAGGGTCTTGAGAGTCAGATAGTGTTGAAGTTGTGGTTTCACAGGGCCGGTGTGCGTGTGGCTGTACGTACGTGCGTACGTACGTGCGCGTGTGCGTTCGAGCTCTGGCAGTGGTTGCCACCATGAATTGTTGACCGTGACGTGACCCAAACAACCCGGGTTAGATTTGTGGCCGCGGTAGCACACAATATACATACATACGTAGTCATCTTAGAGCCTAAAATGTACCTGGGGTGGTCATGAAGGTGGCCGGGAGTGTGTGGTGCTAGCCACATCCCACTCTCCAATGACATGCCTCGCCTCAATGGGCGCCCCAGTGGTGAGATGTTAACCGTCTCACCTGGTATACAGGAGGTCGTAGGTTCGATCCCAACCCTGCTGTATATTTGGAATTTGCATGTTCTCTCCGTGGTCACGTGGATTTTTCTCCGGGAGCTCCGATTTTCCTCTCGACATTGAGAAGCGTGCGTTGAGAGCATTAGGCTACTATAAATTTCCACATGATAAGCCACTTAATTGAGCTATACCGTGTGGTCAGGTCGCTTCTGAAAAAGAGCTGTGTGGCTCAGTGGGCCTTACCTGGTAAAATAAAGAAATTGTTTAGGAGCTAAATTTGGATTTAAAGCTTTCGTGACTGCAGGGATTCATCTTCTTGGTTCTTTCGGTAAAGTCACGTAGAAGGGAAATAATAAAATAATAAAAATAAAACATAATAAAATACAATTCTCACGACGTTTCGGCCACAACGCAAGCAGCCGTCCTCAGGTGAAGAACAGGTATGTCGGAAAGACAGCGTCTGAATGACAACGTCTGAATGACGCTGTCTTTCCGACAGACCTGTTCTTCACCTGTTCTTCACCTGAGGACGGCTGCTTGCGTTGTGGCCGAAACGTCGTGAGAATTGTATTTTATTATGATGTATTTTTATTATTTTATTATTTGCCTTCTACGTGACTTTACCGAAAGAACCAAGAAGATGTTTAGGTGCTCACGAACAGCACTCTCAAGCATGAGCCTCTATGGCTAAACAGGGATCTCCGTCGGCTGGGAACAGCCCATGCCGCTGTTGGGAATGTGTGTGCTCGCTGGGGCGTGTGTGCTCCCTCGCAGAGAGACCCTTTCCAGCGTGCGCAGATTAACGTGGGATTACTCCAGCCGGGCTCAGAAATGCACTTTAACCAAAGCAACTGAACGCAAAAAACGGACACTCGCGTACACACAAACACACACGCACACAACGACCCTCGATTACGGCACACTCAATTCAGCGGCAAGTGTTGTTAGCGAGCAACTATTAAGGCCTGCAGGGTACACAAGCAGGTGATATGGCCAACAACTACAGCCGGCCGCCAGGTACACATTTAAGGCCGAGTGAATCCTAGGGGATGCCCAGGAACCTTTCAGATATTGGTCGATTCACTCTCGCGAGGTCGGGTCACCGGGTTCGTAGCACGATGCGCCTACCATCGCACCACTATTGCCCGTGTTGCCTTTAGGCCGGGGAAAGATCCCCCATATAGCCTTAACAGACAGTTGGGGCAAGTGCTGCTCGTGAGCACCTAACAGCACTTGCCCCAACATATGCGCAAGCACGCGCACACACACACATGTACGCTCGCGCATGCGTAGACCCACTCACTCGCGGTCCTTGTCGGTGAGCTTGTCGGTGATGTCGTCACGGATGCGCGACTTGGAGCCGCGGTGCAGCACGGGGTATCGCAGCGGCACGTGCAGGAAGAGCGTGACCATGCACACGAGGTGCGCCGTGAAGCCCAGCGCGCCAGACACGCTCGCCTCGTCCTTGGCTGACGCGGCGCAAAGACAACGGCGGAGACACGGGGCAACGTCAGCACATGGCTATGCGCTGCATCGTCATCGTTTTCGTCGTCATCATCGCCGACATTGTCATCATCGCCAACCTTGATCAAACAATGGGCAGCACTTAACAGCAAGCACAATCGCCGGACCACGGAAGATGAGGAGATGCGGATACCAAATGCACAAGTGTAGAAAAAAAAAATCTATCTCTTGCTCTTGTGTGTGACTCTGGCTTAAAACTGCACGCCAGCGAGCGTGTAACTTCACACTGCCCCAAACATACGTGTTCAAGTGGGTGGGTATATCTGCAGTTCACCAATTGTCAAAGAAATTAAATGGTTAAATCACTCATCACCGAATCTCTAATAGCTGCTCTTCCTAGGCTAACCAAAAGAAGAAGCAGAATCCAGAACTGGATGAAGGCCTCCCCCAAGTCATCTCAATCTCACACGGTCCTGCGATTCAGCAATCAATCGAGCTCCTGCACACTACATCGTTAAGTCTGATCCCTTGAAGCGACGTGTCCTGCCTAAGCGCGCTTACTCTTAAATTTCGATTTAAAGCTTTCGTGACTGCAGGGATTCATCTTCTTGGTTCTTTCGGTAAAGTCACGTAGGATGGGAACAATAAAAATAATAAAATAAAACATAATAAAATAATTCTCACGACGTTTCGGCCACAACACAAGCAGCTGTCATCAGGTGAAGACCAGGTCTGTCGGGGAGACAGCGTCATTCAGACGCTGTCAGCGTCATTCAGACGCTGTCTCCCCGACAGACCTGGTCTTCACCTGATGACGGCTGTGCTTACTCTTCTTAATGACAACGCGGCAGCAGAGGCCTTAACATTTGTGATGAATGTAGCTGCCTCTAGTGGCAGAAGGGCTGACATCAACTCATTACATCCAACACACAAATGGAACACATTGATTCTTGTTCGCATGACGCACCATAAGCTGTAGAATGAATATCAAAGAATGAATGAATGTCTCGTTTCACCCCAAATGGGGGGGGGAGGCGGGGTTGGGATGGCATCACTCATCACGGATGTTAATCGTGGTCAGGAATCCAACTCAGCTAGCCAGGTTCATAGGACAGTGCGCGAACAACCCCCAGGTCCAACGCGGACAATCGATATTCGACAGTAAATTTCCACACGTAAAACCCCACTTCACACTCGGCCGTCGCCAACCTACTGGCTTGCACTGCCGCCTACACGCGACGCCCCGTTCTGCCCTGCAGGTGTGCGACACGCGCGGACATCGTGGCTCCATCTCTGTGCGATCCACCAAACCCAGCTCTCAGCCGCCACCGCCGTCATCTTATAGCGGGCTCGCCGGCACGCTGAACAATTTGCTCGCTCGCCAAATCGGTCGCTCGCTCACCGACCCAGAAGCGAAGCCGGGTGGACTTTGTAACGTAAGACATTGGCGCCAGGCAAAACCACCACCAAAACCCACCCCCAACTCTGGCTTTGTCAAACCACAGCAGTCTTTGTTATTGAGTCTTATTACTTAAAAAAATATATTTTCCACTTTTCCAACCGCATGTATACGCATGCATGATCGGTGTTGAAGACGTATGCTGCGATTCTGGAAGTCGATTTTTTTTAAAAATGGAAACCCACGCGGGAGTCAACTAATCACGAAGTAGGAATTTTTTTTAAATATTTGTTTTTCTACAAGAGCCACCCACGCGATATCCAATGGCGGAGCCAGGATTTTCAGGTAGGAGGGGCAACCCCTCCAGCAATGAAAAATGATAGAGGAGTTGTTAGTAAGTAAGGACTTGTCCCTTGCTTTTTATTCGACGCGTGTGCGGCGATGGCGCAGCCATCGATCGAGGGTCGAATTCGAACCGCGTGGTGTGATCGGCATCGCGCTCGCTGAAGGTGAATGCCTTCAGGGAAGTCGTGTACTGTATACACAACTGCGCACAATTCTGAGTCACTTATAACTGCTTTGCCGTTACTTATTGCCAATTATGCACTCAGACTATTGTCCTATCATCTCATAGAGTCCCTGGCACGTAATAATATGCTACACAGTGGCAGTGGGGGTCGCAAAATGCCAATTTATTACTAATAAACCCCAATGATCCGATTGAAATTAGGGACTACGATCGGATCATTGGCGGGGAACGTGCACCCCCCCCCCCCCCCCCACTGGCTCCGCCAGTGCCGATATCTGTTCCTTGCAAATGCCAAACGACACGTCCGAATTGTGACCAGCTGGCACACGTCAAGTGATGTTTGGGGTCAGCGGGTCACTGAATTTTGCGTTTTCTTAGCGGTTTGGTTCTGATTTTGTAGATTAATGAGTTCACGTCGCTGTAAGGAAATGTGAAGCTGTTAGCGATGAATGATCAAAGTTTTGCCACACAAAGCCTCCAGTTGTATTCTGCACGGTTTAGAGATGCCGAATGATGCTCGATGTTGGAATTCGATCGGATCGTGCCTTCGAACAATGTTAGCAATTACATGACGAAGAAATTATAAGCATACCCACCACTGTCCCATTGAGCCACTGCTGCAATTCACTTGCATTGTACAATTTTACGTGGAATTTCACACACGCGAAAAAATGCGTGAAATCATTTCATAAATTTATTATATTTTATAGTGACATTTTGAGTGCTGCGATATCTCACTTCTATCTATAGAGCACCTGCACTCAAGGCGCTTGCCATAGCTTACAAACCGGTGACAGAATAATGGAATGATTTGGTTGGCAGCGGCGTGCGACAAGGATTGAGGAATGAGTGACAGCGATAGAGGGGGTGGACTTTTGGATCACGAAAGTGTAGGGGAGGGACGGGGAGGGAGTGGAGGGTCGAGGGGAGGGATGAGGAAGAGAATGGCCAATAGAGAGGAGGTGAGGCCTTAAGTGAGGAACGGAAGGAGGTTAACGTACATGAGGACCGACGATGAGCTCCGGACTCACGACGGAATTGCAAGCAAATGAGTGGACGGCTCCTTGAATACGGCCAGCGTGGAGACGGAGCAACGAGACCAGCTCACGGTGCTGGAGCGAGACAGACGGTCGCCTGCACTGCACCGCGCGGCACGTGGGGGAGGACGTCATCCAGCAGTGGATAGACAACGGCCGACAATCGGCGACGTTTGCCGTGGAACTGATGTACTGCTTCCAAAGTTGTCGGGACCACCTTGCAAATGAGATGCCAATCTCAAGCGTTTCACCCTGGCAATTATAAAGATTGCCAGTGAGCCCACACTGCTGCTGTTGCTGTCTCCATTCCGAAAGCATCATCACAGTCGCCTAATCACCCCTTTGCTATCAGGCAAACGCCACTCCCTGCGCGGCGGCCATCGATCCTCGTCGCCAAATCTCTCGCTCCGTCCTTTTCCCTCCGTCCTGGTCGCGCCCGGCACGTGAAATCGCTCGCGCCACCGACCGACCTCGCCCATCCCAAATCGCTCCCTTTCTCCCTCTCTTCGCCCACCGCCTCCACCACGCAAAATCACTCGCTAATGAGTGAGCTCCCCCCCCCACCCCATCCGGATTTCATTGCATGCCCCGGGAGAACGCCGCACGCCCACATCGGCGCGAGCGCTCGCTTGGTGTAATTGTGGAATTCGATTGCCAGCGCTCCGGAGCCGCACACAAAGACAAAGATCCCCTGTTTAGCCTTAAACCGACGCTTAGGGCAAGTGCTGGTAGCTAGCACTTATGAAAGGACGGCACGGCACACGAGGGGGTGGGTGGCCAGCACCAAGTCTGGCCGACTTTGTCTCCCTAGTGGCGATGTTTACAGATCGCACCAGGTACTCATTTGAGGCTGAGTCGACCTAGGGAAGGCCCAGGAAAGGTTCAAATAATGTTCACTGGTGTTGACCATGAGCGAAAAATCGAACTCGGGCCGGTGGGTTTGTAGCGAAAACGGCTCCCCCAAAACACACAAAGATCCCCAGTCTAGCCTTTACAGACTGTTGGAGCAAATGCTGTTATAGCGAGCACCTACGAAGGTCAAACCACAACAGACGCCGGCATTCGCCACTAAGTGGAGAATGCCGGCGTCATCACCGCGGGGTGCTTGTGCCAGGCCAGGTGCATTCCGATGCCAAACACGCGCACGCACACGCACGCGCGGGGACGCACGGCTGAATCCTGCCCCCGCCGTTCCTCTCCGCGATGACGCTGCTCGTCCCCCCGTGAAGCCGGCGGAAATTGCCGCCACCGAGCCTGCCAACCCCGCTCGCCTAATTGCGGCGTCGGCGGCGGCGGTGTCGGCCGAGAAATGAGATCCCTTGACGACGACGACGACGACGAAGAAGACGGCCGTTGCCGCAGCGGGTCCGGAAGCATTTCTACGCCGACGCAAACCCCACGCACCCCCCCCCACCCCAACAGCCCCCCCCACCCCAACAGCCCCCCCGCCCCGACACGGTACTTTACGTGCGTCGGGGGTTTAAAAATAAAACCAACGGCAATAATTGCAAATTAAGGGCGAAGCTAGAAAAGGAGTTAGCGTGCCTACGCTGATTCTTGTTTTCCTAAATCGATCTCAAGAACCTCCCCCCCCCTCAACCACCCCCCCCCCCCACCGTTTTTTGTTGTTATTGCAGGTGCGAGTTGAGGAAATAAAATGTTGGCACAGGTGAAACTGTTTAATAAAAACGCTGGTTAGTGTCAGCCGAGTTGCGGCTCCGTAAAAGCGCGGAGGGAGGATTTAAAAAAAAAATCGGAATTTGTAAATGTTTAGCGGAGTCTGAGGCAGTTGGTAGCTCCTCGTGCGTTTGCGAGCCAGGCCTGGTGCTGATAACATACCGTCTCATGTTCAAGCACATTCTACGCTGATACATTTTTTTGAAATCCTGAATGTAAATCGCGAGAGTTCACATTTTCACTTCCATGATGTGAAATTTCTTTTTCAACACACGACGCAATATTGAGTCCGCACTGAGTATTCAGTCGATCAACAGTAGATATTTGACAATGTGCAATCTGATATATTTATGTGTAGAATGA